TGGCTGGGCTTTGCTGTGGCACTGGAAAAGCTCCCGTGGCCTGCTCTGTGCCACAGCAAAGGGAGCAGGAACAGGGCACGGCTTGTGCTGGCAAAGCCTGATCCCTTCACGGCACCCAGAGGCTGCAGACGAGGCTGTCTTGCCAGGAATTCACACTTCACAGAGCTTTGCTCAATGTGCTGTTGGAGCCATGRAAGCAATCAGGGAGTTTATTAAGTAATGAGGGATTAATTCCTGCTCTGTGGCTGTGTCAGTCATCTGGAGATGGGAGAGCTGTGATTTGGGGCTGACAGAATGAGCAGCGCTGAGGGGCCTCTTCCTCCTCACAGACTGCGCCTCAAACCCCCACATTTCAATCTCTGAACATTTCAATCTCTGAACATTTCAATCTCTGAACATTTCAATCTTTGAACATTTCAATCTTTGCACATTTTGTTTGTAGAATGAGAAGGATGAAACCATTCTTTGCACATTTTGTTCGTTTTTAGGATGGAGCCATTCGGGTTCTCACCTCCATCCAAGAGGGCGAGGAAGGCCAGGACCAGGAACGGCGACGCTTTCCCCACAAATTCGTACATCACGCTCCCGAAGGGTGCCCCGACTGCAAGGGAAGGGCAGTGTCACTGTCCCCAGGGCTGTGTCACACCGGGGCAGTGCCACTGTCCCCAGAGCTGGGTCACACCCTGGCAGTGTCACTGTCCCCAGAGCTGGGTCACTTTGGCAGTGTCACTGTCCCCAGGGCTGGGTCACACCGGGCAGTGCCACTGTCCCCAGAGCCGGGTCACACCCTGGCAGTGCCACTGTCCCCAGAGCTGCTCTGTGGGTCCCTGGGGGTGTTTGGGAAGGGTGGTGGGAGGGTGGTGCCCATGGAGAGGGAGGGAGGGAGGGACAGAGGGAGGGACAGAGGGACTGAGGGGCAGAAGGAGAGGGGACAGAGGGACAGAGGCACAAAGGGACAAAGGGAGCAAGGAGAGCACCCAGCCCATGCAATGCCCAGCCAGGCGGGTGGCAGAGGTGGCAGAGGTGGCAGATGTGGCACAGGTGACAGAGATGGCAGAGGCGGCAGAGGTGGCAGAGGTGACAGAGGTGACAGATGTGGCACAGGTGACAGAGGTGGCAGAAGTGACAGAGGTGGCAGAGATGGCACAGGTGACAGAGGTGACAGAGGTGACAGAGGTGGCACAGGTGACAGAGGTGGCAGAGGTGACAGAGGTGGCAGAGGTGGCACAGGTGACAGATGTGGCACAGGTGACAGAGGGGCACAGGTGACAGAGGTGGCAGAGGTGACAGAGGTGACAGAGGTGGCAGAGGTGGCAGAGGTGACAGACGTGACACAGGTGACAGAGGTGACAGAGGTGACAGAGGTGACAGAGGCGGCAGAGGCGGCAGAGGTGACAGAGGTGGCACAGGTGGCACAGGTGACAGAGGTGGCAGAGGTGACAGACGTGACACAGGTGACAGAGGTGGCAGAGGTGACCACTGGGCACAGGGCGCTGCTGTCCCCGTGCCCCGTTGGCTCCTTACTGAGCACTCCCAAGGCCAGGCCTCCCAGCGCGATGCCCATGGCGCTGCCCCTCTCGGCGTCGTCGCGGTACACGCTGGCCAGCAGACCCAGGCCTGGGGGACACACAGAGCCCCCCTGGAGCAGCTCTTTGGGATTTTGGGGGGGTTTAGCTGCTCCCTGGCTGGGGCTGGGCGCAGCGAGGAGGAGGAGGAAGGTGCTACCCCAGCCCTGAGCGCAGCTCAAACCTTTACCTGCCACCGAGGAGAAGGAGGAGCCGACGCCTTGCAGGGCTCTGGCGATGAACAGCAGCGTGTAAGTGCCTGAGAAAGCAAACACTGCCCGGGGAAGGGGAGAGCTGAGGTTAAACCCGGCAGCAGAGGCACGGGGAGCTCAGCTGGCACCGGTTTGGGTGCTGCAGGGGGTGAGGGGACAGAGAAATGCCCGTCCTGGTCACCCTTTCCTGAGCTGGGTGCTCTGATCTGTCCGTTCTGAGGAGGGTGATACTCACTGATGGTGGAGAAGAACAGGATGGTGAAGCCAATGAACATGGGGATGTGATATCCTATCCTGGAACGGGAAAAAAAAACAGGGAGAGCTCCTCATTCCCCTCCNGGGCACAGGGCGCTGCTGTCCCCGTGCCCCGTTGGCTCCTTACTGAGCACTCCCAAGGCCAGGCCTCCCAGCGCGATGCCCATGGCGCTGCCCCTCTCGGCGTCGTCGCGGTACACGCTGGCCAGCAGACCCAGGCCTGGGGGACACACAGAGCCCCCCTGGAGCAGCTCTTTGGGATTTTGGGGGGGTTTAGCTGCTCCCTGGCTGGGGCTGGGCGCAGCGAGGAGGAGGAGGAAGGTGCTACCCCAGCCCTGAGCGCAGCTCAAACCTTTACCTGCCACCGAGGAGAAGGAGGAGCCGACGCCTTGCAGGGCTCTGGCGATGAACAGCAGCGTGTAAGTGCCTGAGAAAGCAAACACTGCCCGGGGAAGGGGAGAGCTGAGGTTAAACCCGGCAGCAGAGGCACGGGGAGCTCAGCTGGCACCGGTTTGGGTGCTGCAGGGGGTGAGGGGACAGAGAAATGCCCGTCCTGGTCACCCTTTCCTGAGCTGGGTGCTCTGATCTGTCCGTTCTGAGGAGGGTGATACTCACTGATGGTGGAGAAGAACAGGATGGTGAAGCCAATGAACATGGGGATGTGATATCCTATCCTGGAACGGGAAAAAAAAACAGGGAGAGCTCCTCATTCCCCTCCGTGGGGGATGGGAAACATCTCCTGAGCGGGGGGAGATATCAGGGGAGCCCCCAAAAACACTGAAAACCCCACAGCTCTGCTCCCCAGCCCATCTGCCCACCCCAGGAAACAAAAAAAACCCGAAAATAGCATCGCGTCCATAACGGGCTGGGGAGCTGCGTTTGTTTGTTTGTTCATTCCGTTTGTTCATTCCGGGCTTGCTGGCATTAAGCAACATCTGCCAGCACCTGAGGAGAGCATTAGCGAGCTTTATGCTGGGATATAAACTCACAAGCCGTGGGCAGCCTTTCACTAAAGGTAAAATCCGTGCCGTTTTGATGAATATATTCTCATTTTTGCTATTTCCCCCCGCAGTTTCTGCCATTCCTCAGCTCCCGGTGATTTCGGCAGCAGGCAGGAGTTGAGGAATCGCAGCAACGCCGCTGTCTGACCTACCTGTTGGTCAGCAAACCCACGCAGGGGTTGACCAGCAGCTGCAGCAGAGCTTTGGAGGCGAAAAGCAGCCCCACTCGGGTGTTCTCCCGGGCCAGGAACTCTCCACCCCGCAAACAGCCCCGGGCAGGGGTCGCGGCGGTGCTCGGGGGGTGTCCTGGGGGGCTGCTCCCCGTCCCGTTCGGCAGCTCCGCGGCGCTGGTGGAGCYCCAGAYGGGCACGGAGGTGTTGTCAAAATARGAGAGGATGGAGGAGAAAGGAGGAGCCGCCAGGGCTGCGGGAGCGGGCTCGGGACGGGCGGAGCTCACGGAGCTGTTGGAACCTTCGTACTCCGTGGTGTAGAGGAAGGTGGGGATGATGGGAACTGGGGAAAGAAA